CAATAAAGAGGAACTTGGTGCAAGTAGATGATTCTAGCAATTTGGTTTTTTTAACGAAATCAAATTCAATTATTTGAGAGTCTTCAGAATTTGAGCTGGGTGCCAATTTTCAGAGATATTAAAAGATATCTGTTTTTCCGGATTTTGATTTTTTTCTCTTGATATGAAACAAGATAAATCGAATCATGATGTAAGATACTTAATAAATAAGTGTCTCGCCATTTAACATTACTAACAGATGATTTCTTTTATTCTCGGGTCAGCGCCATACAGTCAGACTCCTCTAATTTCCGTAACTCGGGAGACATGATTCTCAAAATTTGCAAATCAAGGGTTATAGTATCGCTCTATGCTGAGTAGCGCGAGTGGGGAGAAAAGATGCGGGGAGTAAGAACTGCCCATTGGAAATTGAGGGTTAGGAGGAGTCTGACTGTATTCACTTTTATTCGCGAGTTCAATTTAAATATATATTGTAAAATAAGACTCAATAACAACTTCGGAAAATTAGTAAATTAATAAAATGTTTATTAATGATTGACAGCAATTAATGAAAAGAAAGAATCCGTGCGGTCAACTCAAGTCTCAGACAAAAACTGGAGATAAACAAACTGTCCCCTCGTTGCTATAAACAATCTAATCGTCAAGCAATCGTCGTTAACCAACAAACTGTCGTTAGTCTAATAGTCATTAGATGGCGACATACAAATATTTTACACTTCTCCCGATTTTCTAAAAATTGCCACCTGGCAATTCCTATTAGTTGGGTAAAAACATTGGATTAGGCTGAAATAAAAAACATGAAAAATCTAAAATTTAATTTCTAATTCGAAATTATGATAATTAAAATAATAATCATTCAGCCTAAATTCCAATATTGCCGCTTCCCAACTCTGTCTGCTTTAAAAATAAATAAAACAAATAATTAGGAGGGAAAAATCCTGCGGCGGGTAAAAACCTCCAAACAGACCAAAATGATGTAAATTAAACTAATAACGTGATTCTATACAATAAAAGATTTCTTAAGAACTAATCGTCCGTTAGTCAAATGAAAAATTAAAAATTAAAATTTCCATCTTCAATTCCCTTTCCATCCTTCTTTTTCATCAGGAGGAACCACTAGGAAGAACCAAAAGAACCCAAAGAGTAGGAAATGCCAAGAACTGGAAGGTCACGGAACTAAACAAAATAAAAGTTCCTCACAGAACCAAAGTTCTTTTTTAAAAAAAAAATTATTTTTAATCATAAATTCAATATTCAATTAATAACTAGGTTGAATGGTCACATTTCATGGAATCAATTGTCCAAATAAATTCCGACTTCGCATCCTTTTTATAAAATAAAAATCCGACTCTCAAATAAATGATTCAATATCATTAAAACAATCAATTCAATTCCACCTTGCGCAAGGAACTTCCATAAATAAGTTCAATAGCTTCTGCTTACTGAGCAAACTAAATTATTAAAAATTAGGCTCACAGTTACGCATACTATCCGAACGAAAATATTAGGATACCTTGGACATCTAGTACCTTACTTTGCTTCACTTTGGCCAATAAATGAAGAAAAGGATTCCAGTACAATGACTCCAACCGTGTATATCCTACAGTAACTCCACGAGAACTTTCTGAGAATTTTTTATCAAGAAGATCTTTGAAATCAGTAAATAAACCAGAAATCTAATCCTAGAATACATTCTTCTTCAGTTTTAGATCTATCCTCCGGAGCAACTTCAACTTGCCAATATCCACTTTTTAAATTAACGGTAGAAAACCATTGAGCACCAAGAACCATATTCAATATGTCTTCTTGATGAGGAATTGGAGTTGAATCCTTAACTGTGACATCGTTTAATTTACGATAGTCAACACAAAATCTAATTTCATCACCTTTTTTTGGAACAAGAACAACAGGAGAAGCCCAAGGACCATTACATGGTTCTATTGCATTCTGTTGTTTCATTTCCTCCATAACTGAATCAACTTCATCCCTATAATGTAAAGGAATACGACGAGGAGCCTGTTTAATAGGAAGTGCATTTCCAACATTAATTTTATGTTGTAAAATTTTGCACTTTCCTAAATCAAAAGAATTTTTCGCACAAATATCCAAATTCTTCAATAAAAGTTCTTCAAAACGAAATTTATCATTGACATCCAAAAATTTTGAAGATCTTTCAAACAAATCTAAAACAAATTCTGGAAGTTTATTCAAAGAAGAACTAATTTTATTAATTGAAACAACTTTATTACTTTCTGAGAATTTTTTATCAAGAAGATCTTTAAAATCAGTAAATAAACCAGACTTGATTAAGAAATCTAATCCTAGAATACATTCTTCTTCAATTTGAGCAAAAACAACCTCTAAATTAACCTTAATATTGGAAATCTTTATTTCTACAGTCTCGATAAAATTAAAATCAAATTTATCACCTGAAATTGTAAAAATAGAATAAGAAATAGAAGAATTATTCGAAACAGTTACCATCCCTTTAAACAAAGAAGAATTAACAACCGTAATATCAGCAGCAGTATCAACTGTCATAATACATTTTTTGCCATTAACTTCCCCTCTAAGTAAAAGTTTCGGTTTAGAATCAGAAGAATAAGAAAAATCAATTGAATTAATTTTTAGTTTTGACGAAATTTTTTTTTGGATGAACTTTCACCAGTAGACTCATTAGAATTATGAATACTTGATAAACTACTTTGAACAGCTTGAAGAACTTGACAATTCTTCTTAGAATGTCCTTTCTCACCACAAATCCAACATTGGAAAATTTGCGAAGAATTTTGATTTTGGGAATTTGACCTAAAATTTCCTTTAAACGAATTATTTTTATCATCCTTTTTAAAATTATTTCTAAAGTTATTATTTTTATTGGAATTATAATTTTTTTTACTAAAATTATTATTATTCTTATTATTAAATTTATTTTTATACTGACCTCCAAAGGTCAAATCTTCAATCGACTCAAGCTCTAAAGCTCTCTGAGTTGCTAATTGAAGAGACTCAATTCTCTCTGAACGGAGAGAAAATTTGTAACTTTAATTTTTTTAATCCGGAAATAAATTGTAAACCAGCAATTCTATCTCTCTCTTCGGAAGAGACCGAAGGATACGCAAATTTGACAAGCCTATCCAAATCATTTGAAAAATCAGTTAAATTTTCATTTTCAGACTGTTTTCTAGCCTGAAAAAAATATTAAAAATAGCTTTACGATCAAATAAACTGCATACAAAAAATTCAAAAACATTAAAATATTATCAATGCAATGTTTAAGACAAAACAAGACTAACGATTCCAAAAGATGTTCCACTACGATCTGATCTCGATCTTATTTTTTCGACAACTGACTGATGCATCAAACCTTACGTATTTATTTATCGGATGTGACATAATTAGAAGTGCCTTGCTTCAGGCACGTACAAGTCTCTTCGCATGGTCCTTTCCTTTTTTTCCAAAAAAGCTTTATAGCTAATGTTTTACTTACGTCACGTACTGTTTTTTAAAATTTTATTACTTTTTCACTACGTGCGTTTTGCAAAAGTAATCAAATTACTAAAACAAGATATTCTCAACGAATTTTCCAAATTCTTCGTATTTCAACAAAATCATAGAAAAACTACAAAAAATAACTTATGTAATAATTGTTAACATCAATCCTTAAGTTTGATTGCTATTCTTTTTTAGCTTCTTTAACAATACATTCTGAATAATTATTAAAAATAATTTAAATACATTAGGCATTACAATGGATACTTGAATGATTTTTATTGTTGAAAATCAATTGTAATACCAATATCATATGTCTACTAATGAGTTCATCTAACAATCATATAATAATTTCAATTTTGGATATATTCCTAGACAAGGAACACCTCCCATTTGGAATAAAATTCTTTCATGTGATGACATTTACTCCTATAAAAACCATGAGGTAGGAATTATTGGCGCACATGTCTCTGAAATATTTGAAGGGGGTTTTGAAGTTTTAGATTTTTAAGACAACATGTTGTAATAGATTGACTGAAAATGACCAAATTTTTAAGATGAACCAACTCTTGTCCTAAGAGCTATTAACTTTTTCTTGACATATTCTCACTTGCCTATATACTCGATAATGATAGTTTACGTCATTAGTAATTTACCTCTATACTAGAGGCTTCGCTCCTCAACTCTAAAAAGGAAACCAATTTTGAATGAGGATCAATATCAATTTCCAAAAACTGTATAAGTAAATCCTGAAACTTTGCCTTAGATCTCACTAGGGACCCATAGACTCCTACGCCTTCAGCTACCATTTTACTCTCATTTAAACCCCCGATAGTGAAATATTTACAAAAAATAGCAAAAAGTGAATCAAAAATTCCAAAACCCTGCAAACTTTAAACCTCCATAAAATCGTTATAGTGTATTTGCGATAAAAAGCTCTTGGGGGTTTTCCATGTTGCACTAAGTCTAACGATTACCGTTTATCAAATATTTCAAAAACAACTACATTCAGAACTTTTTTTTCAAGAAAGAACGGTTGAGTTTGCAAAAAAAAAAGTATTAAATTAAAGAATCGAAAATTCTCTGCAAAAGACAATGTGTATAATTTGTCAGAGAAACTGTTTTTGCGATCTTTTCGAAAATATCTATTGAAAACAATTGTTGAGAGTACTTGAAGAATGCTTGATTCTTCGAAAAGAATATGAAAGAATAAAACGTTAGGGATCAATAATGCTACAAAAAACATCGTTCTCCTTTCGTCGTAGAACAAACCTTTCTATAGGTTCTACAATAGTCCTCCTTTCTTATTAGATATTTGCGCCTGAATATTTTGTGAACGCTTAACTTTCCGTTGAGAAACATCGGTCATGAAGTGTTTGCTAATTTGCAAGAAAAAATTAATTCTCCTAAAATCTAAAATTTAATTTTCTTAAAGTAGAAACTTCTATAATTATGATAGTTCGTAACAATCTTACTGCTAAAACTAGTTTTACCTTATGTTTACTTACATTATGTAGCCAAGCAAGTCTAGTCGGTGCTGGATTCGAATCAATATGGCATTCAAAATATACGTCATCGCCTTCCTTAATGTCTGTTGGATTCAAGGTTGATCCTAAACGTAAAGATACAATTGGCGGATCTGAAAAACGAAATTCACCATGTGTATAACTGCTAAAGTCATTTTTACATTATTCTGAGTCAAAACGTTGTCACTGATCTAATCCTTAATTCGTTCACATTAACAATCTTAATAATATTTAAGACAATACAAATAGAATCTCTAATTACAAATAGTAACGGTAATTATCTAAAGATCATCCCCTACCCCCTATCGACTTGGCGTTGTAGGGGGGTAGGTAATTACAATATATGAACGGTGGAATTAGCCGTCGGTTTTTTTTTCTATCCAACTCCAACGTTTTGAATACAACTCATTTTAGTTGATTACTTATTATATACTCTTAGATTTGATATATAATGAAACTTTTACGTAATTTATGTAATGAACACATAAAATTGGTGAACATAATTCTTAGAAAAATAAATAATATGATCATGCACGCTGTTTAGATAAAGATTTTGTAAACATATAATAAATTTGGCTTTGTAAACATACAATTCCTTGTTAACGATTTATTACACACAAAAATAACAGTAACAGAAAAATAACACTAAGAGGGTCTTTGAATTGTCTGTAGAATATTGAGTTTACTGAAATTTCACTTACAGAGTTCACTGATGAGGTGACAGATGAGTAGAGGATCACAGAAAAGTTGTGAGTTTTACTGTACTGGTCTCTGCAGCAGGAGTAGTCTGATTTTTTTAAGTAGTCTGAGTTTCATTGTGTTAGTGTCAGCCATACAGTCACAAGCGAGTTGTTCGTGTATGGATCTTGTGTGTGTCTGTCCATGAGGCCGTGAGGCGTCGAAGCCGACACCGTTCGCGCCTTTTGTAAGAAGGTGCTGATGCGGATGTCTTCTGATAGTTAGACTGCCTGATGAGTTCACAATCATCACTATAGATGATTAACTGGTAAGTTATTCCATTTCTGAGGAATATTCTGAGGATTTGTCTGGGTTTTCACTAGAGAGTTTGACTGCGTGAGCTCTCTGCTATTACACACGTAACTATTTGTCTGTTGCAACGAGTTGTCTAGGGGTTGGCATCGTCCGATGATTCCCAAGAGTCGTCCGAGTACGAGCTACGTACAAATTCTCGCAGTAACCGACGAATACTGACCAATACAGACCGTTTTTCCCGAAAACTCTGTTGGTTGAAAAATGTTAGGCCGTCGGTAGAGTACCTCAGCCCAAGTCAAAACAAAGTTGTTCATGATACTTAAAAATTGTGTAAGTTCATCAGATATTCTTTATGGTTCTTACCACCTCACACACACACGTGATGATGGCAAATTTAGACATCAGTTGTCAAACTTGTGTTGACTTTGCATCTTTTTATCGTGAAGTGAATATTATCTTCGTTTATTTCAATATTGTAATCGTCAATTGTCAAAAATTCCTCATTTATTATATTCTTCTGTAGGTTTGTCCTGATTCGACCGAACATGCAGATTAACAAATTGGTAAAGTTGGTCACACAATCAACATCGACAAAGCTAAATTTGGGAAAAGAAAACATCATAAAGGTCGTTTAATAACTGGTCAATGGATTTTCGGTGGCATTGATCGTACTACAAAAAGGTTTTAATAGAACCTGTAGCATCGCGCAATGCTGCCACTTTGTTGGAAGTCATTAAACGACGAGGATTGGAACAACAATCATATCGGATAGTTGGCGAGCATATGACTGCTTCAGCAAAGAAGGTTTTGAACATCTTGAAGTTAATCACTCCGTAAATTTTATTGATCCGAACATAAGAGCTCATACTCAAAATATCGAGCAACTGTAGAGAGATTTACGTGCAGCTACTTCAAAATACGGTAGGGGTGAAATTTATTGGCCACTGTACATTGCAGAATTCTTATTTAAGAGACAATACAAGTTCTGCTAAAGGATTTCGAGTTTCTTTAATATTATTAAAGATATTTTTAACTTTCTGATGATGATTTTTTATTAGAATCGTCATCATCATCGTAATACAAAAAAAATAGGTCTGAGCACACTTTGTCTGTGCTAACACGACGAATTCCCATTAGTAGTTGTTTATAACAAATTTAAAAAATTATAATAAATGTTGAGCAAATCCAAATCCATGAGATATACACATTACTCAAAAAATAAATATAATTTTTAATCGTTTATAACAAATTCATATTGTTATGAACAATGCGTGATTATTAAGAGTCATACCTCATCATAAATGATATCATTTTGTTAAAATCATCCAAATCAGTGTGATACATGCATTAGTCATATAGGGAATGTTAAAAGAGCATTAAATCATCGATGTTAAAATATCACGAACATTTTTTTCAATCTAAAAATTTTTGTTAGTTCTACTCGAGAACACTAATTATACAGCATCTTTTTTTGCTCTTTTCACACTCCCTCCTCCTCACTATACCCTTTGATATTTTTTGACTCTCTTTCACCGTAGAACAATAGTAATTTAATTTTCGATTCTTTTTATATGTATTTTTCCTCGATAAAATCATAATTATTTATGGCTACTTCAATTATCAATTGTAATTGTTCATAATCACAGTAAATTAATTTTAAATATTTTTTACATATTTTATTCATTACTTAGCTGTGTTTATTGTTTGTAGATTTTCAAATAAAGTTTAAAATATGTTAACCTACGTAACTCCGTAAATGATAGATTTTCATTTTTAACCCTCTCTATTTTATTAACAAGGGATGACCGACGGCTGGAATAATTTTTTTCGAGTTCAGTAGACTATTCTCTATCACCCCCTGCGACTCCAAGTCGATAGGGGGTGAGGGATGAATTTTAGATAATAACCTCTTGGTAGTTTTTCTGACTCGGCACACAATGAAAAAAAAATTAATATACGAATTTACTCACATATCACGTCCAAAGTTATAGATTTTTCCAAAAACAATCCCTTAGCACTTGGATTTTCTGCTCTGCACGTGATTTGCTTCCGATTATCTTCGATGCTTGGGATGAATTCCACTCTGCTTATTGTTTCGTTTCTACTCCTTTCTTCCTATTAACAAAATAAAAGCATAAAGAAATATGTATATGGCTTTTAGACAAGTGCTTCTAAACTTTTTTGTGAGAAACATTACTGATAATCTCTAAATAGTAATACTATGAGAGTTTTGCCGCAGTAACGTCACCGAAATGTATGTATGTTGCGGTAGAACTCTCATAGCTGTAGACTCGGCAGGGGGGGGCGTCTCTAAAAGTTTGATGTGTGGTAGAACTATTAAAGTTGTAGACGTGAAGAGTGGAGTAGGTTTCAATGAGGGCGGATTTATGTGTAAGGTGTTACCTCAGCATTACCTGGGTTTAGGCTTGAAAAGTAGGGGTGAATATGGGCCTTTCTCGAGTTTTTGATGGAGGTTGAGGTAGGATACTGCCCTCAGACTTAAGATGCCGCCTTAGTATTACTCAAGTGTAGGCGTGCAGGTATGTATTTATGACATTGATCGATTTGCGTCCGTGGAGAATCTCACAACAAAACGATAAGTAGCGGTGTATCAATCTGTGGCTGTACAATAATATGTTTCTAAGAGATCAATTTGTAAAAGTTCAGCGTTAATTCAATGGACACGTCTTTGCTCGGGCTTGGAAAATCTCACCAAACAATAGATAAAATAAAAAAGGTGAGTAGTAATTTAGAAATGCACTAACCAGCATATGGTTGATCTTAAGTTGTCGAAATATAGAAAAAGAACAAAGAAAAACTCGGTATCTTGAGAATATTTATAAACCTGATTTAAATGAAAGAAATGTTATGTCGAAAACTGATGGGCTTAAGAAATCTCACCAGAGAATAGATTTAGTTAATAAGATGTATATCACCTTGGTCATGCACCGATATGCAACTGTATGATCATAAGTTGCTTCGAAATCTATTTAAATTCAAGAAATGTTATGTAAGAAACTGATGGGTTGGTGAATTTTACTGAACAATTGATAAAATTTAAAGATAAGCATTATCTTGATGATGCATAAATGTGCATTGAAATGCATAAACATGCATAGAAATGTAGCTACATTATTATAGTTTGATGTAAAATAGCTTTTTTCGTTAATTAATTTTTAATCATTAAACTCATATATTAATTACATTCGAGAGCTGGAAAATGGAAAGGAAGAGATAAAATCTATACTATGGAAATTGTATAAAACATCAAAACTAAAATCAATGAGAACCCCCGCACACAGTGTAGGATTTCGAGCTAGCCCGGTTGCTAGTTAAGCCTAACATGAAGCTCGTTTATGTGCCTGTTGCTTGGCTAGTTTGACTGTTAACGAACAAAATACCTTTTTAAACATAATATGAATAGTTAAACGAATTGCTGTTGCAACAGCAACAATAATAGGTAGTTTACTATTCCATTGTGTAGGCGCCATGAATGGCAAACATGCAGTTTTCCGAAATCTTCGAAAAGATGGATAAATTTTTCACAATTATAGACAAAGTGACAGCGTAATTTCATTAGGACTTGTTGATGCCCAATATAAATGTATTTTTGACAACGGAAGAATGCAATTTAGCTGTTTTCAGAGAAAGTTCGTTAACAATTGAATAGGAGTCTAACTCTTTCAATCTTTCTCTTACAAGTCTCAAGCAGGATTTGATCATAATATGCCTTATGTAATAGTAGGAGATCATGCCTTCCCTTTAAATCCGAATCTTCTGAAACCTCATCCTGTTCGTCAAGCATCAACAGGCATGACAGTGTTCAATTACTGATTTAGCAGAGCTTCAAAAACATCAGGAAATGTGTTTAAAGTACTTGTAAACAGACTTTGTATACTATTAGAGACAATAACCCTATCCGTGGAAAAAGTTAAAAACAACATATGCTTGTGTTTTTCTTTATAGCGATTTTGATATCGAAAAATTGTCAGTAATATGAGCTATAAGAACATTGGAGGGAAAATTTCGCAAAGTAACCATGTAATCTTCAAGATATTGCACACCGTGGCAATTTTGGACACAATTCCACATTATTAACAATTATTATTGACTATTATAGTGTTTAATGCTGTTTTCTCAATCCTGACACAAGTTTAAAATTCTTTCACTGCTGATTTTGTTTTTTAAAAATTTTTTTTTCGATGAAATATTGTCACCATATTTTCATAAAAGTATTCTAATCATTTAATATTCATATTTTTTTAAAGATTTCGAAATTTTGTCTAAAAAATGGTATAATTTATAAATTGAGAAATTCAGGTCATTTTCCATTTTTGCTAGTTTTTTGGTTCTGCAAAAAAAATGGCTGTACTGATTTTGTTGAAAACCTAATGAGTTCTAAGTTACATAATTATGCGTTGAATGCAGTTGGTCCCACATCGATATCATTTTTTGTTCTCGAGATAATCGAGGCGAAAAATAATTCCGAACGCACATAAGTACATACACACACAGACGTCCACTGGAAAACGATCGTATTCGACTCTGGGGACGTTAAAACGTGGAGATACGTCAAAATTCGGGATTCGCAAAATCGGACCGATTACTACAACTTCCTACTGGAAAGTTAATATTGCGTTTGTTCCTTTACTCTTAATTTTGATTCTATAAGTTATAATCATTTGCTTCGTGCATTTGTAAATTTCAATTGAGCTCATTTTATTAATATGAAAGAATCTATTACCATGAAATATAATATTAGTTTCAATTTTACTTCTTATAATGTTCAAGATCAAAAATTTTTAATAAACATCGGCAGGATATAATGAAATTTTGCATTATGTAATAAAAAAACATCTCAAGGAAATTTCAATTTAAAGGTCAACGTTAAGAAGAACAAAATCCAATTAATTATTTAAATGTCATGTATTTTTGCTCGTTAAAGGTGTCAGTATGTAAACCATACGCTTAACCTTAGATACTATAAGTTTCTCTTTTTAGTCCTAGCATTTCGACCAATAGACAGGGATGAGGGGATCTTCGATACAGGAAGTGAAAATGTGTGATTTATATAAAAACAATAACAACATTTATTGAATGAAAATTATTGAAAAATTATAAAAACAATTTAAACGTTACCAATAGATTATTTCGTTTTACTCTGGTTGAGACGAATTACAATTAATTAGTCCTTAGTCGATGCTTCAGTCAGCACAAGTATTCACTTTTACTCGCGAATCAATTTAAATATCAATTTAAAAATAATTTGACAATCAAATAAACTTCATACAAAAATTTATAAACTTTGAAATATTATTAATACAATGTTCAAGACAAAACAACACTTACGATTTCAAGAGATGTTCCACGAAGATCTGATCTCAATCTTACTTTTTCGACAACTGACTGATGCATCAAACCTTACGTATTTATTTAGTCGAATGTGACATAATTAGAATTCCCTTGCTTCAGGCGTGCACAAGTCCCTTCGCATGGTCTTTTCCTTTTGTGGAAAGCTAACGCTCTTCTTACGTCACGTACTCTTGTTTTGAAATTTTATTGCTTTTCGCCACGTGGGTTTTCCAAAATTAATAAAATACCTGAAAGATGATTTCCTCAACTATTCTTCAAAACCCTTTCTATTTTAACGAAATCTTAGGAAAACTCAAAGGAAAATAACTTAAGTAATAATCGTGAACCTCATTCCTTAAGTTTTATTGCTATTCATTTTTAGCTTCTCTTGAGATATATTTTAAATAATTATGTGAAATAATTAAAATGCATTCAGACATTACATAAACATACATGATTTTATTAAGGATATATAATTTTTCTATCTTCTGATGGATATAGTATAATAAACAGATATTTTGCATGGTATTCACAATAATTTACAAAGATCATCAAAAATTATTTATTATTGTCGTAAGAACCTATTAATTCTTAAATAAAAGTAGAATAAATTAATATTAGATTTCCTTAGATCTTTGCTGTGAGCATTCAACACCGTTTGTGTCAAGTTATTTATAACGTCTATCTGTAAATCTTTATTTTTAAATATAGTTAAAATGGATCTAAGAAATACCACACATGCTTCTATTGGATCTGGTGTATCGAATTTTGGAAAATTATCGGTTGTTTCGAAGAGTCTATTAATAACTAAATAATCCCTGTATCGTAAAACTCGTCATCAACTCTCTTGCATTTCCTAGAAGGAGTAGAAATAGGTGAAGGACAATTATCTGATACCCCAGACGATGACGATAATGCTGACCTTATTCACGATTTGAATTAACATTCTTAAGACGATTACTCCTTCATCGTCGTCTTCTGCCTCAGCCTTAGCTGCAGCTACCCAGGCAAACACTACTTGTCTTCAGCAACTTATTAAGCAACTGGCTATTAAAATGAATCTGGTAATATCAGGCTTTCCAGAATATGATTCACTTACCAATCCTCAACCTTTGGCTATAGCAACGTTTAATGCCCTGGAACTATCTGTTTCTCTTGGCAAGATCGTATCATCCGGGTTTATGCGTAGATTGCCTTCTGGATCTAATCCTTCCAGTTCTACTGTTGTTTCTACTTAATTGCTGCCTTCGTCTTCTTCTTCTTCTTCTGTAGTGCCCTTTCCAGCCTTTACTTTCACTTCGACTGGCGTTATCAGAAGGACATCTAAACCTAAGACTACTGTCTCTATTGCTATAAAATTAGCTGATACTCACCTTGTGCAATCAGCTATTGCTGCCAAACGCAAGCTCGACAGGTTTTCCTCATCCATGCTTAACCGCGTAAAACTACCACCGGATGCAAAGCCGATTCCTTCTCGAGACTTCGAGATCTCAGTTCAATAAGCTGCTGCCCTCCAGGACATTTCAACTACTTGGGAAAACGAAGGTTACTCTTAAGCAAATTGGCTTTAATTATGTCTGGGCCAAAAACTCAATTGTCTGTGCCAAGTTCAAAAGTGAGGATATCACACACGTCATAAATAGCAATGATGATGGTGTTAGGCTGGCAGCAATTTATTCATCGACAAAACAGTGATAAACTCATACAACTTCACCCCAACCTGCTCTTTATGCCTGGTCTAGGTAACTTCTAGCTACGCAACT